GGCTCGGGCGGAGTTGGGGTGGTCTACAGTGGCGAAGAAATCAACGATCTCGCTGATCTCAGGCACCGCATCACGGTTGCGTGCCAGAATCTCTCGATGGCGCTCCTCCAGAAGGCTGTGGCGGAGTGTCATAATAGTATTTAATATGCTCTTTAATATGGTGGTAGAAATGTCCGATCAGAATTTATAAAGTGTAACTTATAGCGCCTCGAAAGTCAATGAAGCAAAGTGACTTTTTTTGCCCCCCCCCTGTAGATTTCGTTCTTTTGGGAGAGAGGGATAGAACTAGATCTGGGAGATGAAGGGCCTGACTGCCGCGAGGAGCTGGTGACTTGACGAATTCGCCTTTTGACTAAACTGGACTCCCAGACCGTACAGATGGTAGGCTTTGCTTCAGCATCAGGTGACCTTTAGAGAAATTCAAAATGCAAAAAGGGTCCTTGATAGCGGAAACTGCGGCTACCTCTCTCCCCTCACAGAGAACCAATCTGATGGGAGTTCCTTTTTGTCATGTGTTTCTGAAGAAGCTGGTTGTGGGGGCTGCGCAAGACTTCCATTTCTGCTTTCCGTTTCGTTTTCTGAGTTGATGACACTGGAAGTCCACTTCCAAAAAAAACTAATCCCGAGATTTCAGGTAAAATACTTGAGTGACTACGGCTTTAACTGGTTATACGCTGAAGACAGCGACCTTCAGTTGCTTTCACTTCCTTATAGAGACCTTTCTTTCGCTTTCAACATCTTTCTACCGAAAACGAAGTGAGTTTCGCTCAATGTACAATAAATGTAGTAAGAATAGCTGCTCCCGCTAAACACGCCGGGCCGCATCGGGTTCTGGAATTGGCGCAGCTCCAGTCGCTTCCCGCTTTGTCGATTGTTGTTGTTTGCCTGCTTCAATAGTTGCTGGAGGGGTGTTGTCGTCATTTCAGCCCGTCCAAGCGCTTTGCAGCGAGAACATTCTGCACTGCGATAAAAGCATTTTCTGACAATCATATGGAGAGACCTCAATAAATCAGAGGTGGATGGGTCGGTGAAGAATCATGCGTGAACTAATCGAGCATCTTCCATGGCGGTGGATCGGAATAAGCGGGTTTTTTTCTGCTCCTTAGCGTGAGTGCCGCGCCGTTGCAGGACCCGCTGATTTTGTTGAAGCCTCTTGTTGTAGTTCTCTGCAACTTCTGCTGTGACATTCGCTCCGGAAGGGTCCTTCTTGATGCGTCCCTCAATCTCTTGTTTAGGGCTCCTCATGATCGCCTGTCCTGTACTTCGAATTCCAAGGTCTTTCTTTTAATTGGTCTTCAGGCCCTCCCAGAACGTCACCATATTATCGCAGTCGTTGCTCTCGTGCCTTCAGCTAGATCGGAGGCGTCTGTGTGGCTGCCCCGATACCTGACTCTGTCCGTGCCCAGCCACAGGCCCTTCTCAGCATCATTTCAGCTGAATGGACTGCCTTTCGTGCTTCTTCTGTAGAGGCCAGCACTCGCTATCGTAGCAGGTCTTACTTCTGCTCGATACATCCTGCCCTTGAGCGTACTCGAGCAACGCCGGCAGCAAAGGGTGCCGGTGAGTTTCCTCCATTTCATTCAGGTTGCACTGTTTCGATCCCTTACCGCCTGGTCCACGCTGCCGTCAGCTACTAAATTGCTTACCGAGTACTGAAA